TTGATTATCATCATTGAGAAAAATAGAATTTTGGATAGTGATTTTTAAAAAAATCTAGAGTTAAAAAATAGAAATTTTTTTTTGAGTTTATGTACAGAATATTTTATTTTGTAAATATATGATTGAAATGAACATGAAGAAAAATAGTCTAAAAATAATGATTGTAAAACGAGGCTAAAAGGTAGTTAATGTAAGAATAATGTTATTTGCAGTGAAGATTACCGACAGTTGCCTTATGTGGCGTACAATTGACAATTTTTCATTTGATGTATAATTCAAAAAATAACTATCATATCTATGTATCAAATACCAAATTGTCAAGTGTATGCCATATAGGACGACTGCTGACAGTTTTCACTACGAATAGCATTACTCTTAGAGTGTGTTTGATTGACATGGAAAATATCATCTAGAAAAGAAAATATTTTCCATCTTTTATGAAAAATAAAAACCACCTCTACCCGAAGAAAATATTTTCCTTAGAAACAAGAAAAATTAGACATATTTTCAAAAGTTGGAAAATATTTTCCATGGAAAAAAATAACAATCAAACACTCAAAGTAGAAATTTGGATGAAAAACTGATATTTTTCATGAAAAATAAATGTAATCAAACACACCCTCAATCTAATTCACCAAATGCGAGGTCCTTCTTTACCAATCAATACGACGTCGTTCCCATTGCCTAGACCATCCTGACACGTCCTCTCTTTTCTGGCGGCACTACTTCCCCATTTCCCAGAATTCCTGTATAAGCGAATCCTCTCTCTCTGCGGCGGAATATAATATACGGTAGGTTAAGTTTCCAAAATAGTTCATATCTTCATTTCAATTCCATATGTAATTATTAGGTTTTGGATTGTAGTTCTTATGAAGTTTTCCTGCATATGTTGTTTGTAGCTTTGAACTCAGGAGAGGAAAGGAGAAAAGAGACCATGGGAGCGTTTTGCAACGACGACATTGCGTTCTCGAATTTCAATTTTGACTCATTTCAAGATCTGAGGTCTTCCAAGCACGTCTATGACAATGTCCATGGCAACATTTACCTCGGCCCGGTAATCCTTTCACGGAGTTATCTTTAGTTTTACTGCATTTTTTTCCTCTAATTTAACTGAACTAATAGATAATTAATGATTAATTACATTTAAAGCTTAAATCTGCAATTACTGGAATTTAGTAATCGCTTTATAAGAAGATTGTGAAATCACTAGTTACAGAAGTTCTTGTTGTAACTTAAAATAAAGTTTTAACCTTTCAATATTTAACCTATTTAATTTTCTGTTTATTCTTTTATTTAATAATCAATTTTAAGACAATTAAAACACCATAATTCATATTATAACTTCTATTTTAATGATTTAATTGTGGGGGTTGATTTTCACCTATAAAAGGTGGTTACATTTCATTGAAAAGGAGGATGAGAATACAATAATTTGGAAGAAAAACATTCTATATAATTTATACTATTCTTATATTTTTGGCAACTCGATGAGGGGTTTGTTCACTTATTTCCCTGTGGTTGTGTCCATAAAAGGAGAACTGGCTATCAGCCACATATATTTTATCTTGTAACCATGTAACGCCAAAAATACCGGCACGAAGGAGAGGCAATACGACTTTAGGACAGCGTCTTCGACGTGACTCCAAAGCTTACTTTTCTAACCCTCTTGTTATTTTATGTTATTGTTGAATTATGTTTATGTCATCTATTTGATTATGCTAATTGATAAATTTATTTACACACAAATCACCAATTTTTCCAACAGTTCTTAAGTTGATTATAATTTCACGTGATTCTACAATTGTGTGCCTTTATGTTTCTCATTATGGCTTAACATGGTATTGTCGATTTTTCCACAATGATGCAATTTAACTGTTCTTTATCTCTTTGCAGCTCTTTTTGAAATTTATCGACACTGAGCAATTTCAAAGGTGGACAAAATTCTTTTTCCCAGTTCTTGTCTGCTACTTATTTTTCAGAATTTTTTACTTCTTATTGTTCTTTTCATTTTGGTAACATTTCTCTCCATAATAGATGCTTTAATTTTAAGATGCTAACAACGATATTCATTCTATATACAGGCTGCGAGATCTTAAACAACTTGGTGAGTGTATAACCTCATTTTTTTCATTGTAACCTCTCCCTGGAATCTCCAGTAGTTGAATGGAATGATCAGGAAATGTTCGAATATAAATTGCATGAAGATTTTCTTGATGTTGATTATCTTTGATCACATAAAGCCAAAAATTCTATTCTCCCCCTTTTACTGGTTAACTACAAATGCAATATTTGTCAAGCCCCTTTTTGACGGCTATTTTTTTGCGTAGAATGAGTTTTTGAATAGTAAATTTGTGGAGAATGTGTGGTTAAAAAGTGAAAAAAAAATTGGGTTTTCGTGAATAGTTTACTATGAGAATATGTGGTTGAAAATGAATATGAGGAAAAAAAGACTTTTGAAAGAATGGTTGACAAATAGGGGGCCAAATTTATACTGTGCCCACATTGTGAAGATTAAGGTCTGACGTGTGCATTTAGATACTCCTCTCTGAGTTTTCTATGTTTAAGTATAATATTTAGACTGTCCTCATGAGAAGTTGTTTTGAGTTATTGCCATTTCTCTGCTGTCTCTTTCCTAGAGAACCTTTCTTGCCGCTTGGAATAATATAGGTAGAATTGTCTTCATATATAGGGAGCTAATATTTTTGACTTGAATCTATGTCTCTGTCTCTATCATCGATAACCTGCTATTCCCTTGTACTTGAACATTGAAGCTTCCTGTTGTACAGATAACCATGATTTTAATGGTTTTTACCTTGATTAATATTTGCCCATTATTTTAGTAAATAATAATTATGCCAGTGGTCGTCTTATTGGTGCATTATAAGAATATTCTAGGTATGAAGTGACCAGTTATTCATCATCTGTTATTTTCTGGCTCAAACTTGCATCAAAAACTGTTTTTTATTTTAATATGCAGGTATGGCACATATGGTTTATCCAGGAGCAGTGCACTCCAGATATGAACATTCTCTTGGAGTGTATTGGCTTGCGGGTGAAGCTGTTCATAAACTTAAGAACAGCCACGTAAGAAAGTTTCCTTAGATTATTTATTTCATTGCATAAATCCTAGTTCTATAGGTAAATCTTTCTGACATTATGTCTTTATTAGGGCTTAGAGCATGGTATCGATCACTTCGATGTACAAACAGTGAAACTTGCTGGTCGGTAATTTTATAGTTCCATGTATTATGTATGAAACTAGTTCCATGTATTATGTATGAAACTAGTTCATTTATCTGTAAACTAGGTATTCATCCATCTTATGTTCAAATTTATAGGGCTTTTGCATGATGTAGGCCATGGGCCTTTTAGCCACTTGTTTGAACGCGAGTTTCTTCCTATGGTTCATAAGGGATCAGAATGGTAATGTTCTTAAAAGGTTTTATATGTTTCCAGTTGATAAATGTATTTGTCATCATAGATTCAATATACTATTCTTCTCGTATTTCATTTGTTGCTTTGATGTATATGCCTGCCATTTTTGTTGATAGATATTAGACCTAAATTTTTTTGCTTTGATGTATATACTGCCATTTTGTTGCTAGAAATATTGGACCACGTGTTCAGAATAAGTTTCAACATGACTATATCATTAATGATAATTTTGTAGTTTTAAGACTGTCCATTAAAGAATGGATCACATTCGATCTGTGGCATTAAATCTTTTGATTTAGCATAGAAGAGATTGTATTATTGGTGTCGATAAACTATAAGTTTGACTTCTCAGTATCTTTTCTTATGTCGATTCGGAATACTTGTGCAAACTATGACCCCTTCTGTGTGCTTTTCTCGTATCTCTTAACATTGGTGAAGGTCCTGCATTCCAAATTATGTTCTTTTTCCCCTTCACATTATTGTGTCAGTTAGTTATAAATATGGGATCTAAGCTAAGTGCTGTTTTTTTGTACAAACCTTGTTTTTGGGTATATCTTCTTTCAGTGTTCTCAACAAGGGTCTATTCAAAGTTAAACTACAAAGGCTCAAATACTTCTTAATTATCTCCTTCAATGAATTCATGGCTTCTGATATTAGGTTGACACTTCCTCTGGGCTTACTAAGAAATTGCAATGTTAATTTTAACAACTTCTTGAATCTAAATAAGCATTTGAGTAATATAAATTGTAGATTGGAGGAGAAACTATCTACAAAAGAAGAGGTGTTAAGAAAACTGGAAAGTATTGAAAAATGTCACATTGATCTCTCTTATAGAAGAACCAAGATATCAGTAGATAGTAGTTAAAGAGAAAAATAATAGTAAGTATTCTACTGTTGGAAGAATTAAATTAACTCGTTAGTAAAAATTTCACTGATCTTACTTTCTCGATGTCTCTTACATTATGACCGTTTTCCTGATATTAATAATCAAAATATTACTCAGAACATAGAATGCGATCTCAAATATGTGTCCAAGTAGTTGTCTTATCAATAATTACTGGCTCAATGCTGGCCGCTAAAGTCTTTGCCTTTAGGATTCTCTTGTGCTACTGTAGTTTAATTTCCATGCGTTCAGGGTAGTGTGTAGAATTTTGGAGACGAAAAAATGTGCCCTTCTTCATTTTTTTTATTTTTTTTATTTTATAAATAGAAACCAAAATGCCAATTGCAAACTGCTTTCACAGAAAATTTATGAATGCATAATGTTAATTAATTCCAGGTCTCATGAGCAAATGTCTGTAGACATGGTGGATCATATTGTTGATGAGCATCATATTGAAATAGAATCTGAGGCTTTAAAAAGAGTAAAGGTGAGCTGACAAGTTAAGCGTTTCATAACAGTAGTTTTAGTACATGCGGCTTATATTTTTTATTTTTTATTTTCTTTTAAACGTATTAATGGAAGATTAGAGTGCTTAATATCCTAACTTTTTAAAATTTAATCTTGTGATACTAAGGATTTTAAATACTCATTAGGTTGTACTTGTTAGGTTCATTTGGTTAGCGGGAATTTTTTTTTTACTTAAACTTGATATCACTTTCCCATTTACCTATGCACAAGAAGACAAAAAGTTCATGGTTAAGCACCCTATTGAATAAATACCCATAAGGGGGAATGTACTCTATGTTGCCATAGAGATTGCGACGTCAAAACTTTTCCATTCTACTTGAATTTTCAGTTCATAAGTTGAAATGGTGTCATTAATGCTTTAGTTAATTGTGGGATTGTATGTTTGTCAATGACTACTTTTTATAAACAACTGTATGTCTTTGGATGGTATTCGTCCTTCAGACTGAATGTGTAGAAAGGATTCATAGGTTGGAGTCATGTAACTAATTCTTCCAGAAACGACAATTTACGTAATGCTGAGTAATTAGGCCCGGCTAACCATTCTTCATTATTTTACTTTGTTCTAGTCTTAAGACTCATTGCTAGTTTCACTAATAATAAGAATTTATTTTTATGTGTAACATAAGATGCTTTTGCTCCGAAGCAACTGGTTTTAGCACTTTTACATTTGTTGAGGAGACCGCTATGCATATTATGAGCGGCAGGGCCTGGCAACCCTGCCAACAGACATATAAAAACTGGTGCTATTGCGGCTACACCTCCCGGCTTCTATCAGGAGTTTTGTTTGTCGATCGATGTGAAAACTCTCGCTTTATGCTTGAGCTCCGAAGCAACTGGTTTTAGCACTTTTACATTTGTTTTTATTGACCTTTTATCTGCAACTTACTGGCAGGAAATGATACTTGCTAGTTCGAAATATGCTACGACCAAAGTAAGTCTTACTTTTGATATTTATTACATTGCAATTTGTTATAATGTCAATTTAGAAGTGCATGTGGAAAGTTATTTTATGGTAGATGTTGCTGTTTTATTCTTCATCAGATCATGCATCTAGACTTAATCCAAATATTTTTCCATCTCTAGAGCACAAGGGAAAAGCATTTTCTGTATGATATTGTGGCAAATGGTCGAAATGGTATTGATGTTGACAAGTTAGTAAGCGACTCTAATAATCAGATTTACCTATATGAATGTTGTTCTCATTTTCCTTTTATTATTATTATTATTATTTTTTATCTATATCTAGTTATTCTGGATGATGCAACCCTATGTTGTTGGTGCTTGCATGACTGATTTTGCTACTAAGTTGTCAAATTGGTTCATAGGTTTGATTACATTGTGCGTGATAGCCGAGCATGTGGCCTAGGATGCAACTTTCAGTTTCAAAGGTTATTGGTGAATCTTCTTGGTGATTTTAACACATGCATGCACTTGCACTAGGTATGAAGAATTTGGGTGAAGACTTATAAAATCAAATAAAATTTTACTGGATGATTTTTGTTGACTGTCAGGTTGATGGAAACAATGAGAGTCATGGGAGATGAGATATGCTATCGGGCCAAAGATTGTGAGTAGTACATGAAAAAATTGAACATGACTGTTTTGTTATCTTTCCTATGTTCCTTAATGGATACATTTGCAGATCTTACAATCCACAAGTTATTTGCCACTCGAGCTGATCTATACAGGACAGTCTACACTCATGCAAAAGTAAAGGTACAAAATGTGTATACACTCAAATTTGGATTATATTGAATTTCAGATTTTAAACAGATTACCAAAAATATTATACGTTCTAATTATTAGGTTGTATTTTTATAAAGATTGGGGATTCCATCTTAAAAGGTCAACCTTATTAAGATAGAGTATCCCAAGTTTTCATAAATTGGTCTATATTTTCATTTTCATCCGACATGGATTTTTATCCTTTAACATGTCTTTGCAAGATGGTGGTTCGTTTGAAATATCAATCTTGAAATCCATGTGCTCTATTTTTTGAGTTTTAATCGAATCGAATTGCTCTTTTGAGCTTAATAGGCTCTAATATTATTTTAAAATTTCGGGTTCCATTTTAAAATGTCAACCTTATTAAGAAAAGTAGTCCAAATTCTTATAAATTGGTCTATATTTTTATCTTTATTCAATATGAGATTTTTATTCCCTAACAATTTGAAACACAAAAGTAGTTATTTGAATCTTGTTACACTTATCCAGGCAATTGAGTTTATGGTTGTAGATGCCTTGCTGAATGCAAATAATTACCTAGAGATTGCATCTCATATATATGATCCTTCACAATATTGGAAGGTATGGGAGTTCTTCTCATTTATTTATTTTTACTTTGCTTTTTGCAACACTGATAGGCTTTTCCTTTCTGGCATAGTTAGATGACACAATAATCAAAACTATCGAGACAGCTCCAGACCATGAATTAAAGGAATCTAGGGACTTGATCCTTCGCATTCGCCGGAGAGATTTATATCAGGTATTAACACTATTCCTGTATGTTTAATATTGTACTAACATGATTAATATTCGTGTTGTCATTTCAATTTTTTTATACGGTAATGGGGTATGTGTGCTATATATTTTCGCAGTTTTGTAATGAGTATGCTGTTCCCAAGGATCAACTAGACAATTTTAAGGATGTCACTGCACAAGATATCGTTTGTTCACAGGTACTTAACATGCATTATTGAAGCATATTATATGTTCACATCAGTGTTCTAAAATGCATAAAGTGTGGCTAGATAGGAACTGAAGTTTCAAGCTTTATGGGCTTAAATGAGCCTAGGCGAGGCTTAGACGTAAAAAAACGTTTTCTTATTTGTATATTTTGAAATTTTAATCATTTTAAAATTACTAATAATTAAATTAATACATATTAAGCACCTAAAATTATAAAATATAATATTTACTTAATAACTCCTACCATTAGTCAATTATACAATTTTCAAGTTTTCAAAATGCAAAAATTAGAATATTTTTCATAGTTTCAATTTTCAACTAGACAAGTCTAGTTTAATAGATTTATAGGAATTTCATACATGCTTTTGGAGTTTGTAATAAAATGAGTCTCAAGATGGTAATTCCATGTAGATAATACCAAAACTTAAATCTTATTTAATTATTTAGATAAAGTTATTTTTAACTTTTGTATAGATAAATTTTTTCAAAACTTGAAATTAAAATCAAATGAAAGTTTTTTTTTTTTTAATAATAATAATAAGCTAAAGTTAAATAAAAGACTTTAAAAAAAACACTAATAAATTGGGCCTACGAAAGATGAAAGAAATGAAGGAAAAAATTCAGCCATTTAGGAATTGGAAAAAAAAAAAAAAAAGCGCCTAGGCATGAAGCGAGGCGTTTTGCCCGAGCTTTGACTCTAGACGAGCTTTTTAGAACATTGGTTTACAAAGGTTTCTTTTCACGGATTATAGTGGCATGTGATTTATGCTAGAATTGAGTAATTTTAATAATGTAGAAAAGTGGTGGAGTGGCACTTAAAGAAGAGGATGTTGCAGTTAGCAATGTCCGGATAGATTTGACTCGTGGAAAGCATAATCCTCTTGAAAGGTGCCTCGCAGACTGAATTAAAATGCTTCCCTTTTTCTCTAGCAAAATGAATTTCATTAACTATATTGATTATTGATTTTTTTTTATTTTTTATTTTTTATTTTTTATTTTGGCATGTGTTCCATCTCCCAGCATCAAGTTTTTCAAGGTATCCATTTTTCTTTGTAAAATATGCCCATCAGATTTTCCCACTGTTCCCTCTTTCACTTCTACAAGTTTCGATCACTCTTAAATTGTTTTCAGGATTACGAGAGTGACGAGAAATTATCTATAACCGATGATCGCATCAGCCACTTGCTTCCAACATCTTACCAAGACATGATTGTGCGAGTGTACTCTAAGAAGCCTGAACTGGTCTGTTGACTTTCTCTTGGAAATTCATTTATGCATTCATTTTTATTCCCTATTAAATACTGGCTCTTTGCACTTGTTAGGTTGGAGCAATTTCTGAGGCTTTCGAGAATTTTCAGTTGAAGACTTATGGGATCAAAGCACAAGTACACTCCACACCAGATAAGAAAAAACGCCGGATTTGTTAGCATGCATCTTGTGCATTTCTTCCCTTCTATCGTTCGTTCTTTTTATGTACCAGTATTTACAATAGTTACATCCTTGGGCCAATACCAAACCTTCCAAGTAGACTACTCTAGTATTAATTCCTTTCAACATCTTGAATCACATATGCAAAGCCTCTGTGATTGCATTCTTGCTCGAGGACCTTGTTTTAAAATGTGAAGTGCTGACTCTGGTAGTAATATCCATATACTGAACTTCATGATATCTCTTACATGGAAATGATTAATACATGCGGTTGTTCCTGTTAAAAGTTGAATAATGGAGCTTTAATTTCTGTCCAGTAGAAAATGGTTTTTCGTTCTCCTCTCTTTATTTTTTCTTGTACTTTTGAACCCGAATGGACTCCCTCGGACTGGGGCAACTTTCTTTGAGTTTCTGGTTATAAATTTTGAAGTATACTTGGCCGAGCTTAAAAGTTTGCTTCGGAGTAAATAAGTATGTCTTAAAATAAAGTATATACGCTATCTCATCAAAGGATAAAACTAAAAGATTATTTTTAATTTGATAATAGACCAACTTTATTTCTTAACCTTTTATGGGAAATTGAGTGTTGAGTCCTGTTCGGAAGCTCTTGAAGTTTTCTTTCATTCGCTACATAGCACATAGCTAGAAGTCAGAGCATAACCCTTTGTTTCGAATAGGAAAGTGCCTTTTGAATAGGCCTGGGCAAAAAAATCGAAAAACTAATCAAACCGACCCAACTTGAGTTAGTTTGGGTCAGTTTGATACGGATAATTTGTTTGATTTGGTTTTCTTTTAAATAAAACATGGTGATTTGGTTCGATCATGATTTGAAGTTTCAAACCGCAGGTTAATCGAATCAATTCAATCCACTTACATTTTTTTTTTTAATACATAAAAATCAAAAGATAAGCCATACTTTCATAACTATATCACGATTCTCTTCAATTTATGATGTTGTCGATAAGTACACAAGCTCATTATGTTATGTACCCCGTCTTTTTCTTTACTCGGGCAATATATTTCTTAAGTTTTCTGTTGATCTGTCTCTAGTAATATTTTATTTGTATCTCCATAATTCTTGTGATATAAAATTATTTAGTTATTTTAATTCTTGTAATCTAATTGGGCCAAAACTTGGACAATTTTTTTTTTTTTTTTTTATATTTTTAAAATTCAATTTGGACTAGAAGTCTAAACCAACTAACCGAACCAAGCCAAACCGGTTCGGTTTAAGAGTTAGAGAGAATTGGTTTGTGTTTAACTACACTCAAACTGACTAATTTGGTTTTGGTTTTGAGTTAAAGTCGAAACCATTCCAAATCGAATTGTGTCCAGGCCTACTATTGAAGCATTCAATTCATCGAAAAGAGGGGTCAGTTATTTGCATGACCTTTGCAGATTTAATCCTTTCTACACGGATGATTAATAGAAGACAAGACCCTAACCTTCACTTTCCGAATCAATGAAACTGCACTACTCAAAGGGAGAAACTTTTGCATAGTTCATTACTATGAGTAGGGAACGAGTTAAGCTGAAAAATCGTCATTCCTAATAATAATGCGGAAGAAGTTTATAGGTGTGGTCCACAAGCAGGTTAACAAGACGCGTGAGGGTGTTTCTTTCTTTGGCACGACATTGGTATATACTTCTTTCGTCTCATAAAGATAGGCTTGATTTTATTTTTCGTTTGTTCCAAATTATCTGTTACTTCTCTTATTAAGAGTATTGTTAATCCTTTAATTTTTTAATATGCTTCTATATAATGTGCATTATTATCCATAGATACCAAATATTTCTATTTAAATTAATAGTTAGTGTTGGGGTATATTAAAAAAAAAAATAAAAAAAAAATCTATTTTCAAGTATATTAATTACATTTTTTTTTAATCTCTTAGAAAATAGGAACAAGCCTATCTTTAACGTATGGAGGGAGTATTATTAACCTTTTTTCCCCCCTTCTTTTAAACTAGTTATTTTCTTGGTCCTATCTTCGATTAGAGTATGTTTTCTTAGGGCACCACTATAGAGGTTAAAACCAAGTTACAAGCCCTATGAATGAATGTGAGAACCCTATGATCCTCACTACAAGATACTCATACTTCTTCTACCAAATTTTGGGAGACAATTTGAGATTTGTAGGTAGAGATCGCTTTTCCCCTAAAAAACATCACTTCATAAGTTTATGATTTACTTCAAAATTTTCAATAGTGAAAGGACTTGTACCCACAAATGTTTGAATTTTTTCTTGATGAAAAAATTGATAGGCAAGATATATTTTTTGCAACCATAATAATTAGTGGGAAATTTTTTCAATTTTTATTTTTATTTCTAGTTCCTAGATGTATATTTGAAGTGAAAATAAACTTGAAAAGAAAAAGAGAAAGAGAAAAGATAATATATATATTTTTTTCTTAACGAAATTCAAAAATAGAAAAAGCCCTCATGCCCACGTTATATTTCTTCTTCTCTGCCTTCGCTTTTCTTTCTGGTTATAAATTTAGAAGTATACTTGGCCGAGCTTAAAAAGTTTGCTTATGAGTAAATAAATGTCTTAAAATAAATTATATATTCCACCACATCAAAGATAAAAATAAAAAGTTACTTTTAGTTTGATTATAAACCAACTTCAATTCATAGCCTTTTATGAGAAATTGAGTGTCGAGTCTGTTAGAAAAATTACAAAGGATTTTATTAAATCGTGTATCAATAAGAATGAAATAATTTGGAATACAAATAACACATGTTTTAAGAATTACCCTTGTAGCGTGCTTTGTAAAAAAAAAATTCCTTTAATCTTTGATCTTCTTAATTTCACCTTCAAGCCTCCTTGTTTGATCTTCTTGATTTTCCTTCAAACCTTTTGGCCTTCTCTAGCATTCTATAAAAAAAAAATAAAAATAATAATAATAATAAATAAAGTAGGGATTTTTCTTTGTGTGTGGGCACAAGAATTTTATTTTAAATATATTAATTAAACCCAATGAGAATGTACATATCTACATATATGGATTTGATTTACCAGTCTTCCAATCCCAAAAGAACTCTATCTTTTGATTGGATAAAAGTCCTCAACAAAAAAGGAAACTCTTTTGTACTTATTCAAATCATGACCTCCATATCTAAATGTCACATGCAAAATACATTCTGATTTAATTAATTTATATATATTTCTACAGTTAGTAATAATAAATTATAACTCTTATAATTTATTCCGGTTCTTATCTTTTAAGCCATTGAAGGGACCAAACGGATCCAATTAAATCAAGCTCCAATAAATTAATCTTGACCCGGTCAACTCTTGATCGGTCTAGATAATTTATTAATCAAGTTTTATTCCACTAAAAATACGTGATTGCAATCTTAATTTAATTGAAATTATTGAAGCTACAATAATTATATCCTCTGACAAATTGCTCTTATGTATTATCCCCGTTAATCACGTTGAATATTTGGAGTGAAATGACCAAAATGCCCATTTTCCAAATATACATTAAATTCTCAACCCCATTTTCTATTTAACAGTTCGATGTCACAATATTAATTCCACAATTATGTCGAATTACTAAGCTCATATTTGACTGTTCATTAGAAAATATCTTGAGGTTATGATTGTACCTATTATATAGGTTATAGATTTCACAACGCGAATATATGTTCTCAAATTATTTCACTTTAATTCCCGAGTCATCGAGATTTTGATTAGCAATTTAATCTCACTCATTGATAACTCAAAAAACTTCAAGTTAGTAATCAAAGTTCATTACTCGCTCAGGATTAAGGTACTATGTACAATAATCAAGTGAAATTAAATTCAAGTGGTCAATTCCATAAATTAATTCCACGTGGTCCAATCTAATACATTCCAAAATGTACAATCAATTTTATTGCTAAAATCAAGATCAACTTTAAATAAAATTGAGACAATCTTATCAACATAAAGTGTTCGTCTTTATTTATCGATTATGGATAATAAACTGTAGATCGAATTATAAATCAAATCTTAGCTCAAATTAATACAAATATTGGAAAAACAAATTATTATTTTTACTTCAAAATGTCACAAGTACTAATAAATTAACTCGAAGGGTTAAAATTAAACTAACAATTCTCCCACCAGCCCTAGAGTAAATGAGACATGTTAAGTAAACCCATATTTTCAGTATGTCCCTCAAAACTCCTAGTAGGAAAGCTCTTGGTAAGGGATCAGCAAGATTTTCTGCAGATGCTATCTTGCACACTGTCACATCTCCTCGTTGAAAGATTTTCCTAATTAGATGATATTTTCGTTCAATGCAATTTCCACGTTGATGGCTTCTTGGTTCTTTTGCATTTGCCACCGCTCCACTATTATCACAGTACAAAATAATGGGACGCGATGCTGAAGGAACCACCTCAAGGTCTAGCAAAATACTTCTTTAGCCATACTGCTTCCTTGGTTGCTTCACAAGCTGCGACATACTCTGCCTTTATAGTAGAGTCAGCAATACAATATTGCTTGACACTCCTCCATATAACGGCACTGCCACCTAATGTGAACACTAATCCTGATGTGGACTTGTGAGAGTCCCTATCAGCTTGAAAATCAGAATTAGTATAACCCACAGGAACCAAATTTGAGCTGAATAAACTAATATAGAACCTCTAGTTCTACTAAGGTACTTGAGTATATGCTTAACAGTGGTCCAGTGCCTAGGTCTCGGGTTCGACTGATATCTACTGACTATTCCAATAGCATAACAAATATCAAGTTGTGTACATAACATCGCATACATGAGACTTCCTATAGCTGAGGCATAAGGAACATGTTTCATCTATTCCACTTCACCAGGAGTTTTAGGGCAATGCTCCCGTGACAAGTGAATTACATGTCTAAAAGGCATTTGACCTTTCTTGGAATTTTGCATAGAAAAATTGACCAATATTTTGTCTATGTATGAAGCTTGGAAAGAGCAATCTTCCTATTCTTCCTATCCTGAAGGATTTGGATACCTAGAACATAATTGGCATCTCCCAAGTCCTTCATATCAAATTGTTGTGCCAACCAATTTTTGACTAATGTCAATGCTCCAATATCATTCCCAATGAACAAAATGTCATTAGCATATAATATGAGAAAAATGACCTTGTTTTCTTTAATACGCTTATAGACACAAGGCTCATCAAGGTTTTGATCAAAACCACAAGTTTTAATTGTTTGATCAAACTTTATGTTCCAAGACCTAAATGCCCGCTTTATTCCATAAATAGACTTATTTAGTTTGCATACTTAATTCTCTTGACCCCTTT